GGGTTAGCCCCCCCCCCCCCCCCCCCCCGGTGTCTGCCATCGGGGTTGGGTTTTCGTCGCTTGGCAACGACGTTGTAACAGAAGCCAATTCACTTCGTGAACTCGGCAACCAGGTTACCGTTTTTTTTTTTTTACCTCTGTTTTTTTTTTGGCGGTAACCATAGTGGTGGTCGAGTAGATCATGTTGTGCGGGGTGGAGAAACCTCACTCCGCGCACGGGGATGATCGCACCACGTTGTGTTAAATTGGTCAAGCATCCTCTAGGCAGCTACACAGTGCTTATAACTGTCTCTGGAAGTGAAAGCACCAGAAAATAAATTAAGTCATACGCAGCTGTCATCCGTACGCAAGGAAATAGCACAAGATGCCGAACACCCTTAGCAGGATGCAGCTCACCCTTCATGCGACTCGCCGAATACCTCACGGCGCTTCGCGCTAGAGCCTGGTCCGGTGAGAACCCGGCATGCTCCGTCCCGGCTTTGTAGGGATGCGAGGTCAATGGTCTAACGACTACGGCATGCACGACTATGAGTACACCCCCCCCCCCCAAGCGGGGCTGCTGCTGCCGAAACTGTCCCCGCTCTGCCACCCCTGCCTCCAAACAAGAAATCGCGCGACGACAAGATCCACAGCCCACTTACCTCGTGAAAGTAGATGAGGTCCTCTACATCCATGACATCGCAGATGAGCATCTTGTCCTCCGAAGTGCCGCTCTCCCCTTCGAACACCCGGTCCTCGATAGGCAGGAAAATTTCCTGAGGGCGTGGGCGCGCGAGCGAGGAAGGAAACGGGGGGGGGGGAGAGGTCGGTCGCAAGTTGCGTTTCGGTTCGCTACAAGAGTCTTGCTGAGAGTGCTTCTCTTCTCTTTGACACACCGCCGCAGGGGTATATACCGCACGGCAACAACCTCATCCTTGGAAGGAGGGAAGGCTGCGGCAAAGGGCACAAACACTTGTAATCCCCCTGTCGAATAAAATGCCCTCCAATGCTGGGCAAAGCGGGATTCGGGCATACCCCCCCGCTCCCCCAGCCTTCAAGCAGCTCTGGAGCTCAGCGTAAGAGTTGATATTTCATCTTCGCAGGCAACCCTCCCCTCCCACACGCACGGTATGATCTGGGAGGGATGAGGGTGAAAGCTTTCGCGGCGAACACCTCCTCTTTTGCGTAGGAGGCACGATGGTCCAACCCATGTCACAACAACATGGCGTCGGGTACAATACGAGAGCCCCGTGGACGCGACGTAAATGAACACCAGGTCTGCTGCTGCCGCGTCGACGAACCTCGTCGGTACTCCTCCTCGTTGTCGGAGCCCTCAAGATCGATCTTTCCCATCAGGATGTCGTGCGCCTGTACCACGTTGTACTTGCAATCCGGGCAAAACCTTTGAGAGAGAAAAATAAAAGGGGGGGCGGGGGGGGGGGGGGCGACATGACGCTTTGCGCGTAGACACAAAGGTTGGCGACAAGGGAACAACGACCAACGAATACCGAGATACGGTGGTCCTACAACACGAGAGTTAAATGTGTTTCCTCTGACGGCGAGCAAACAAGGCAGCAGGGGTCCGTGCGGCCCTGTACACGGCCCTTGCCGTACTCGTGCACCACGGCGAGGGAAAACCCAAGTCGACCACAGCCAACACCTCGACAAACAATATGCAACGCGTGGGGACAAGAAGAGAAAGTGCGCACGCGCTAAAACAAATCCTTTCCCACCTCGCACAACAATACTCCTGCCCGGTGCACGACCTTTATAGTGTGATGATCCACCAACAAAGACATACAGTACTGTACAAACTACTTGCACATTCACCTCGCATTCAACGACCAACAACAACTCACTTGATTGACTCCGTGGCCTGATGTACTGCCGCTTCAAACGCCGGGGCCTTCACAGTGGCCACCTCGTTCTGCAGGATCCAAGCAGTTTAGCGCACGAAGACGACAACAGCAGAGTGCGGAACAAAGGTCACACAAAAAAGAGAAGACCGTTACGCCCAACGGCAGGGCTGCTGTACTCCAAACTTTTTGACGAGTCCTAGGCGGCAACACAGCGAGGGGGTTCCACGTGCACACACCGCTAGCCTACACAGCCCTCTGACGACAAAGCTAGTGCAAACAATTAACCCCCGGTGTTTGCCATCGGGGTTGGGTTTTCGTCGCTTGGCAACGACGTTGTAAAACAAGCCGCCCCCCCCCCCGGTGTTTGCCATCCGGGTTTGGGTTTTCCTCCCTTGGCAACGACGTTGTAAAACAAGCCCCCCACTCGGTGTTTGCCATCGGGATTGGGTTTTCGTCGCTTGGCAACGACGTTGTAAAACAAGCCAATTCACTTCGTGAACTCGGCAACCAGGTTACCGTTTTTTTTTTTTTTACCTCGGTTTTTTTTTTGGCGGTAACCATAATGGTGGTCGAGTAGATCATGTTGTGCGGGGTCGAGAAACCTCACTCCGCGCAACGGGGGATGATCGCACCACGTTGTGTTAAAATGGTCAAGCTTCCTCGAGGCAGTTACACAGTGCTTACAACTGTCTCTGGAAGTGAAAGCACCAGAAAATAAATTAAGTCATACGTAGCTGTCATCCGTACGCAAGGAAGTAAGCACAAGATGCCGAACACCCTTAGCAGGATGCAGCTCACCCTTCATGCGACTCGCCAAATACCTCACGGCGCTTCGCGCTTGGTGATGTGAGAGCCTGGTCCGGTGAGAACCCGGCGTGCTCCGTCCCGGCTTTGTAGGGATGCGAGGTCAATGGTCAAACGACTACGGCATGCACGACTATGAGTACACCCCCCCC